ATTTCACAGTACTATTGAAACTTTCACTGTAGTTGGTTAGAGGCATTCACTATATCACATCTAAGGCTCTGGTAACATTAGTTGCAACCATCTTAGTTGTCTACCATCTAATGCAATGATAATCAACATGCTAAATATTTACTAATCTGTAGTTTCATGTGAATTGAATTTTTAATTGAATTTTCATAAATTTGTCAGCAGACCTGTATCGAATGTACCACATACACGGAAAAAAATTTAATGGCTCCTAAGATAATCGTCTGTGTCGTAAAGACATGAAATTTAAAACCAAGGGTTCTTTTTGTGATTTGCCCTACCAGATGTTTTTAAAGTAGTTACACATGATTATTTTGGACTGCGGAAGTTTAACACAAATTTAAAACAAAGAAATTATTGTTTTCCAGCATCCTATGTTAAACATCAGGTAATAATCAATTTATATAATTTATTTCCTAGAAAACCCGAAAATGTTTTTTTTTTTGGAAGTAGGTAGAGCAAACCTCAATCTATCCACCCTGAATTTCACGATGAGGAATAGTATAGCGTCATACTCAACGTCGTAATATCAATAATTCTTAAGATGTAGTTACAATCTACTTAGATTTTGAATTGTAAAGTAGGTCAAACCAAAAGCATCATTAGATTTCCCCTTAATGATTAAAAAACCGTAAATATTAAAGGGGTTATGATTATGTTTTCTTAGGATGTTAGAATTATAGATTTTACGCATTTGCTACGTACCTCTCCGGGCTTTTGGGTACAAGATCTTCAATGTTTAAATCTAAATCAAGAACTTCCGACTCTGCCATTTCGTCTTCGTTGACTGTACCTATTTTTATGTGAAACAAAATGAATGTCCTCTAAATAAACATCTAAATTCAGGTGAGAGATGTATTAGTGATTAATCTGGTGTATTTTATTCTCTTTGTTACAGATAAATTATGTGCAATTTGCATTGAAGACTACAAAAAAGGACACCATAGATTATACACAATAGACGACATTTTTAGGCGGGTAGCACAGATTTATGGCAATAAATAGCCAAATTACAAAGTTCAGAATAATCGATATTTTTGTAATAAAATTAAACATAAGATTTTCATACCTTGAATATTTGTTTTGTATTCTGACTGTTTACAAATAAAATAGCATTGAGTTCCCGCCTGATTAAGCCACAAAACTACAAAATTAATACGATAAGTTGTATTGTCTAAAGGTTTATTGAATAATAAAATTGAAAGATTCGTTTCGGGGGAGACCCAACTACCATATCAACCCATAGTCCAACCTCCAGTTCCCAAAGGAAGGAAAGGGAAAGGGTAACTGACTCACTCCTAACATTTCTTTCCTCTTGGGGGAGAGAGGCTGCAAGCTAGCAAACCAGCAAATTTTTTTTTAGGATTGAGGCATTTCTGCTAGTACGGAGGCATTTCTAGTTTCACCAGGACAGGTGGGATGGGACCTGGACAGGGTGGGATTTGCTAACAGCTGCCCGATCGCTTCCAAGGAGACCTAACAGCTATCGGATTGCAATCGCGAACCGCTGAGAAATTCTGGCGAAAGACTCAGCGGGCTAATGCATGGGTTGCACGTCGAACGAGTTCGACGAGTACGAGTGCATTCGTGTTGAGCGATGCACCGGTGTTAGAATCTCAGGCGGGTATCAATTTTTCTAATGAAATACGTACTCAACGAATGTTCACGATTGACTTCCACGGTGAAGGAATTACATCGTGTAATAAAAATCAAACCCGCAAAATTGTAATTTGCGTAATTACTGGTGGTAGGACCTCTTGTGAGTCTGCACGGGTAAGTAAGTACCACCTCCCTGCCTTTTTTAGCCGTGAAGCAGTAATGCGTTTCGGTTTGAAGGGTGGGGCAGCCGTTGTAACTATACTTGAAACCTTAGAACTTATATCTCAAGGTTGGTGGCGCATCTACGTTGTGGATGTCTATGGGCTTCAGTAATCACTAAACACCAGGTGGGCTGTGAGCTCGTTCACCCACCGAAGCTTTAAAAAAAATTAAAAAATTATCTTTTATGAAACTATCGTTTCATTTAGCCATACTAACATGATGGAGTATAAATAAGGATAATAAAACGTTTTACAAATGTTTTTTTTAAAATCAGTAACGATTTTTCCCTCATATTATCAAAGGTGTCGTTAGTATTATCGGCTGTCCTCGTTTTCGGAAGGAGTCTCCTAGCACCCAGTATAGGAAACCACCAAGTATATCATTCCTGTCTAGCGAGACACATTCGAAAATCAAAAAAAGGATCCAAATTTACAGAGCCCTCGAACACATGTTTTACAAGTTAAACGCATCTCTATGATCTCTTCATATTAATAGTCTGTGATTATAGATTACACATATTCGATTGTCCACAATATGGAAGGTGAATGAAGTTAGCCCCTCAAAAAAAATTTTTTTTCCTATTTTATACTTATTTTCTATTAATTCGTTTGTTCATCATTTGTTCATGATTGTTCACTGTTAATAATTGTTTGTTCTGCATTTACTTATTTAAAAAAAAAAATTAAAAATATACCTACAAGTTAGCCCCTCTAATGCAATTTTTAATATTTTTTCATCCTTAATGACTCGTAAATATTCATTTTCGATTGTTCTTGTATAAAACACGTTTGTTCTCTTTCGAAATTACTCGTTTTTTGTTTAATTTACTATTTTTATTAGTTGAATAAATGTATGCAAAATATGTGTACTGCGCATACGTCAACTATAATGCCTAAACTTTCTACGCGGTTTTAATCGTGAAAAAAAAAACAAATATAAATCCTGAAGGAGCAATTAATTGGTATACAGTTTAATTAAAAAATTTAAAAAATAAATAAATGAAATAATGTGCATTGGCGTTAAGATAGACCAAATACATTTTTTCCATCCTCCTACTTATCGTTATGAAGGTATAAAAAAGATAGGGAGTTTACATAGGTAATATAAACAAATAAGTAAATATGTTCATTATGTATCTTTCAAGAGATAATATAGGTATACATTATAATAACTTTTATACACAGTCGAAATTATATTCCTAACATTAGTAAAATAACATTTTAATACGATAGGTAAGAGGATGGAAAAAATGTATTTGGTCTAACTTAACGTCAATGCACATTATTTCATTTATTTATTTTTTAATTTTTTTAATTAAACTGTATACCAATTAATTGCTCCTTCAGGATTTATATTTGTTTTTTTTCACGATTAAAACCGCGTAGAAAGTTTAGGCATTATAGTTGACGCATGCGCAGTACACATATTTTGCATACATTTATTCAACTAATAAAAACAGTAAATTAAACAAAAAACGAGTAATTTCGAAAGAGAACAAACGTGTTTTATATAAGAACATCGAAAATGAATATTTACGAGTCATTAAGGATGAAAAAATATTAAAAATTGCATTAGAGGGGCTAACTTGTAGGTATATTTTTAAATTTTTTTTTTAAATAAATAAATGCAGAACAAACAATTATTAACAGTGAACAATCATGAACAAATGATGAACAAACGAATTAATAGAAAATAAGTATAAAATAGGAAAAAAAATNATAAGAACATCGAAAATGAATATTTACGAGTCATTAAGGATGAAAAAATATTAAAAATTGCATTAGAGGGGCTAACTTGTAGGTATATTTTTAAATTTTTTTTTTAAATAAATAAATGCAGAACAAACAATTATTAACAGTGAACAATCATGAACAAATGATGAACAAACGAATTAATAGAAAATAAGTATAAAATAGGAAAAAAAATTTTTTTGAGGGGCTAACTTCATTCTCCTGCTACCCTACCCTACCCTCCATAGTTCACAATCACAAACAATTCTAATCAATTTAAGTTTCGTTTTTACGTCAGTGGTTTGGCCAATTGATTTTAAAGAAATTCGGTAAGTAAATTCCGGTATGTAATTTCGGTTCGGCTCTCTAACACATAGATACGAACCATTGAGTTTGTTGTCTTATCACTGGTACCGGTCACCGCAGCAAGGGTTCGACGAGTGAATTAACCCATAGACACAGCCCACTGAGTTTCTCGTCGGATCTTCTCAGTGTGTCGCAATTCCGATCCGGTGGCAGATTCTGCTAAGTACTGCTCATAACCTGCTGAGTTTCTCGCAAAATCTTCCCAGTGGGTCCCATTTCTGACACAGTGGTAGATTCTGCGAAGCACTGCTCTTTCCAGGGTTAGTGTTAGCAAATTCTCTCAAGTTGAACCCGTGAGCTCACCTACCCTTCCGCGAGAAGCTGGAATAGCCAGAGGCTACCAGCGAATAGATAGGGAAAAAAGCACTTCTCTCGCTAGGGCTAGTGTTAGCAAATTCTCTCAGGTTAAGCCTGTCAGCTCACATACCCGTGCGCACGTCACTTGAATAGTCGCCTCAGAGGAGAATAATAGATGGAGGCTATTCCAGTTACGCGTTATCCAAATATCCAGCGAATAGGTGCAGAAAAAAAGCACTGCTGTCGGAGATCTATGTATTAATGTTAATCTATGGAGAGTACGCAACTGTCATGTCAATGGACTTTTTGGCGGGAAAGCGAGGAGTGAAGTTGTGTGATTTGTTTTATTTTGTCTATTTAGTGTTTCTTCAAGTTTAAATGTGTAATAACGGTGGCTTATTAACTGTTTTATATCTGTGAAAGTGCACAAATGCGGGAAAATGAAACAAAGCCGCTGGACGTAACTTCTCGGGATCCTTCAAAAAGTCCACTGAAAAAATCTCAGTAAATCACCACCATTTTACTGAGATTACATTTCATCCCATATCATCTCATCTCATTTCATTTTATTTCATCTCAGTTGATTAATGTCTCAAATTAATCATCTTCATTTAATTTCAGTCCATATTATCCTTTTTCCTAAAAATAAGAATATAGATTAAAATAAGACATGACCTAAAGGTGTTAGTTACCAGGTCATAAAATCCCTTAAAAAAATGTAATGTCAATTCATGTCATTAATGTTGTGGACATCACAATCAATTCACGAAAATTATAAACACTACATACTACGTTAGTAGGTAATTCACATGTGAACTGTAAACCAAATGTAGCTTAAATCTATGTCGAAATTATTTGAAAATAAAATGGACAACGACCAAGTAAACGATTTCATGCATAAAAATGGCGATATCGAATGGCAGCCGTTAGCGCTTACTTTGGTTGAATATCCGAGAGGTCTGGTATTTATTTAATAGCGTTTCAAAACATGATCCCAGGATTAATGGAAGAAAATTTAATGTCTTTTTATGGATCAATTGTTATCGTTACAGGTGATTTAATTGGTAAATTCTTTGCATTCATCAGTTTATCTCCATTCGGTATTGGTGCTGGATTTGTAACCTTAATTTTGTTTCGTCGAGATCTTCACACTGTGAGTAGGAATTTTATTATTTAAATAATTTTAAGATTGACTTAGGAATGTTTTTGTTTAGCTAATAGAACCGAAATGTCATGTTAAGGTTTTTCCCTAGTAGATTATAATGTCATTAAAATAAATGTTACATTTATGTACTAATTCAGTAATATAACGAGAGGTAAAATGCTATTTAGTATAAAGGTGCGTTTTAATTAGTATTAGCACAACATTTCGATGTTCTGAATTGAACTTCAATTAAGTTTACTTCATTCAAATAGCTGAAGAAGTTTTTTTGTTATGATGTTTTTTCCAAATTTTAAACTTTTAACGGCTCTCCTGCAAAGTTGCAAAAATGTTGCTTAAACCAAATATTTTCATCCCATTAGTCCCAAGGGAGGTGAAGGAATTTTGGAGAATTTGCCTACCTTGATTTGATGATTTACACAACTTGATTCGGTTTTCATTCAACATTTCCAATTTCATTAAATTAAAGATTATTTTGCAATCTTGATCTTAATGTATTACACAAGCATATATTCTCATAAATCAAAATTACAAATCCAATCAAGTGGAAAAACCTGATCAGTTGGAACATAGTATTTTGGAAGTGCTGATTAGGAGTTAATATTTGTATTTTGACTATAAGAAAAATAAAATAGGCTAGAAAGCTTATATCAGGCATCCACCATAAATTTAATGTAATACTGATGTTGACATCTTTTACATCACTGAGAAAAAAATGGGTGAAATTAATTATATATCAGTATCATCAAATGATGAATCCAAAGCAGTAATCATTTTACTGCATTCTAATTATTATACTGCTTTTTCCATTTGCTCTCAACACTGTTTTGAAATTCAGAGGGGTTTTTGTTATCCTTAATGTTTTAATCTCATGAAATTATATGATTATTTTCAGATAGCTTTCTTCTGTGGCACATTATTGAATGAAGCAGTTAATGCTACATTAAAGCATATTATTTGTGAATCTCGACCAATGACCAGAGGGAACTTGTATAATGAATATGGGATGCCTTCGTCACATGCTCAGTTTATTTGGTTTTTCAGTGTATATGTTTTTTATTTTGTTTTGATCAGGTATAGCTAAAATATTTGTTTTATTTAAATTTTAGATTTGCTATATTATCATTCAAAGAAATATGTTATATTTATAATTGAAAACATGAGTGGATGGAGAAAATTGCACTTATGTTTATTTTAATTATTATTGAAGTAATTATTAACACCTTGTTAACACCTAAACAATTCAGACAGGCAGACTTAAACAGTGCTTGTGATTTAAAACTAGAGGTACTTTAATTATTGATTGCATTCAGCATACAAAAATTGTAATTGATGTATGTATATAACTACGAGAATATACATCATCATAAACACAAATCACGAGAACTAAAACTATTCTATTATATCTATATAACTAAAGAGTTTAAAGCTCTTATATAATATTGTCACTCATTTATAAATGTGGTATTTATTTTCAAGAAAGTGGTTTGGAATTTTTACAAAAGTAAGCTTATTTTGAAAATGTCGTTAATACAATTTAGGCAGTTGTCAAATCTCTTCTGTTCTTTGATATGTATGTATGTATAAAAATGTATTGCAACCCACACTATGAGAATCTCAGGTGTGCTGGTTATTATATATTTTGAATAGGACTTTCGCATGAAGTTTTCGTGGTGTCTTTTACCAAAATAATCTCCTTTTAAGACACTCAGAAGTTCAATTTTAAGTCTAATTCTTCAATATGCTTCCAAGCAACTTTCATACCGGCTCAGGGTCTTTCAGAGGCGTCCCGTCGACGATCTTGGCTAACTTGGCATATCGCACCTTTAGAATTATAAGAGACCCAAACAAAAAAAATGTGTCTTTTCGTCAAAAAAAAATCTAATGAAGTTTTTAAACCGAAAAGAGGTAGAGGGAAGGGAATGGAGTGAAAGAGACCGATGGATAAGTTTGTCCCTTTTTAAGCTGCTTTTGGTCATTTGAGTATTAAGAGTTGCTAAAAAGGGTCGTTCTAGGTCCATTTTTTAAATTAAAGTCGAAATCCTAAATTTCGAAATGGGTCTCTATAATTCTAAGTGTGCGATATATTACATTGTCTTTCGAGCCACCGTGCCAAGATACTCAACTGAGGGTCAGCTTATTGTTTAGATATTTCGTGCATTCTGAAGTGAGCTTAGGGTTGGTTTCAGCTGATGAGAGAGCTTTAAGATTCGTCTGACTACCACAGAAGATTTACCTTTTGATGATGTACTCAGTTTGTTTGTATGATTGCTTTTACTTGAACGTACCGTCGGTTCTCGTATACCTGACGCACTCTGTCAAATGGACTGGTAATTAAAAAAGTGATCGATTTCATTATTCAATGTAGATATGAATTCATTTTTCTTGGAAAAGAGAGAAAGTAACAAGAAATAAAGAGTGCTGAAAATATGATATGCAAATTGTAAAATTGTCTTATAGTTTGATAACGGTATTATACATATAACATTTAAATAAGTACATTTTACAAAAGTTTGAAAGCTATCAATTTGGCCGCTACTGGTAGGTTTCGTATTATTATTATTATTAAACTATCTTCTTAAAAAAAATTCAACTAAAATTTACTTTACGGACCATTGTTCATCCACTTTTGGTTTCCAGTTATGTTGTTCCAGGTGATAAAATCATTTCTCAAATAAAATTTAATGAAATTATAATAGAAATTTCTTTTCAGATTACATCACATAAACAATAATAGCATAATATCGGCCTTATGGAGAGTTATAATTGTGAGTGGATGTATATGCCTAGCTGGTCTTGTCAGCATTGGAAGAGTCTATTTGCATTACCACACCACTTCCCAAGTAGTGGTGGGGGCTATTGTAGGAATTATGTTTGCAACTATTTGGTTTGCACTGGTTCACAGAGTATTCACACCACTTTTCCCACAGATTGTTGCATTGTAAGTATTATACAGCTATTTCATTATCATTAATAATATTTATCTTTATATCTATAGAGAATATTTGTGGCTGTAAATGTTTGTTTCCTCGTTTTCGTTGAACAGTGCACTATGCATTGCCGAGTCGTTTATCTTTAGTTAAATATTTTATAACCACATGTAATGTCTATGGATTCCGGTCCTGAGTTCGTTAATCTATCCATTCCAATAATTGGGTGTATATATTTTATACATTGTTAAGTAGTCACATCAAAGGGAGTAGAAAAAAGAAGAGGGGAGCGCTAAAAAAAAAATAAACACTGAAGCGAGAATACTTTTTTTTAATTAGTTACAAATCTAACATACTACCATAATGTGTCGTGGCCTAACGGATAAGACGTCCGGTGCATTCGTGTTGAAGCGATGCACCGGTGTTCGAATCCCGCAGGCGGGTACCAATTTTTCTAATGAAATACGTACTCGACAAATGTTCACGATTGACTTCCACGGTGAAGGAATAACATCGTGTAATAAAAATCAAACCCGCAAAATTATAATTTGCGTAATTACTGGTGGTAGGACCTCTTGTGAGTCCGCGCGGGTGGGTACCACCACCCTGCCTATTTCTGCCATGAAGCAGTAATGCGTTTCGGTTTGAAGGGTGGGGCAGCCGTTGTAACTACTTGAGACTTTAGAACTTGTATCTCAAGGTGGGTGGCGCATTTACGTTGTGGATGTCTATGGGATCCAGTAACCACTTAACACCAGGTGGGCTGTGAGCTCGTCCAACCATCTAAGCAATAAAAAAAAAAAAAATGTGACCGTGTAGAAAATACCAGGAATTTTTTCGCCTGTGACTATTGTTTTCTAGATGAAAAAATATTATAGTATAATCCTTATTTAAATTCTGCATGAAATATCGTTTTAGTAAATGAGAGGGTATTGTTCTGTGTTGTTCCTATAGCATAGAAATAATCCGTACATCGATCATCATCATCATCATTATCCTACCCTTCTCCCAGTCACCTGGGGTCGGCGCAACATGTTTTCTCCTTCCATACTCTTCTATCATATACCATTTCTTCGCTCACTCCCCTCTTACCCATATCGTCTTTCACGCAATCCATCCATTTATTCTTAGGTCTACCTCTTCCTCTATATCCTTCCACATTCATAGTTAATATTTTCTTACCAACCTCATGTTCATTACGTCTCGTCACATGTCCATACCATTCCAAACGCGCACTTCTCAGCTTCTCTGTCACAGGTGCCACTTTCAGACTTCCTCTAACATATTCGTTCGTATAATCCGTACATCGATGTGTGTTCCAAATCCAGTCGTCTGGACTTTTACTTTTAACTATAGTATTTTAAATGCAAAACTAATTGAATCGATCTATTAAAATGCTTAAATTCGAAATTGTAATATAACCAACTAACTGTATTATTTCGTATAATGTATGTAAACGTTTGAATGTCGTTGCAGAAAAATAAGTGAAATGCTAATGATAAGGGACACAACGTTGATACCGAACGTATTGTGGTTCGAATACACGACGTCACGTCAAGAGGCTCGCGCTCGAGGCAGGAAGCTGGCGGCCCTGAAACCGACGCAATGACGGTGCGAGAGCGCGCGCGTGTCCGCCGCCGGACGGAGACCGCGCGCGTGACTGTACTTCGCCGTCGCGGCATTCGCACTGCTCGGCGGCTTGTTGCTAACCAACAATAAACCCGGTCGCGGACACTGACATCGCCACCGTACCTCTCTCAGCTCTATAATAAGACTTACTTTCTACTACTACTACGACTACTTTTTCCTTCAGTCGATCATTGCTGAGCATCGTGACGTGCCCTTCTGTGACTTTTTTTTGTAATTTGTCGGTCAGTGGCGCAGTGAAGTGCGTGACTCAGTCTCGTGTCCAGTGTGCTTAGTGCAAGTTTTTGACGTAACAACGTCTTATAATTCGATGGAGCCGGCTGCACGCACGAAAAAATATGACTCATGCGGCGCTACCTCGCTCTGAGGCGTTCCATTTAAGGCTTGAAGTGCAAGCGAGAGCGCGCAACGACAAAGAGGCACAATCGGCCGCCGCGTTTGGCAGCATTCGACATCTGTCTCTCTCCTACTTGAGTGAGCGATGCATCCGCGTGGACAGCTGCTATACAATAATACATTTACATGTTTTCGTCAAGTATGAAGTTCAGTGAAAAGTGAATGTGATGTCAATTTTCCATACAAAATATCTAACAAACAAATAAAATTAAAATTTTCTTTTGAAAAAATGAAACCATTCCATCAGTACTTTCTTATGACGTTGTCACGTTCAACTATTGTCAGTAAACCTACTTTACAGACAACCGATATTTATAACGTTCTCGATAGCGTAAAAGTTAAATCAAATTTGTATGGAGTTGGAATGTTTGCCTACGTTTTCCGCTAGGGGCGCTGTTCCAACTGCATACAGATTTGAGTTACTTTTACGCTATCGAGAACGTTAAAAAACTCGCACTAGGCACACTGATGCTCCGACACTTGGTCACTCCATCTTTTTTGGTTCCGACCTCTGGATCGTCTTCCATCCACTTTACCCCATATTTATAATGATTACTTTTTTTTTTAACGAACCGGTCAAAACTGTCGGGATCGTATGCAATTTGAATATTAACATTATTTTGTACTAATTTAATGTTGGATTGTATAAAGAATGTGAAAATTATAATTAAGCTTAAACTTTTATAAAATTATTATATTTCATCTGTTTTGATATACATCGTTGATTGTGTATGCAGCTCATGTTTCATTCGGTGGCAAGTGGTTACCGATGCTCATAGATATCAAAATGGGAATGCTGCTATTCACTACGCTACTAAATTTTATAGTATAATGGCTCTCGTAACCTTCAAATCGGAAGGTATGACTGCTTCACAGCAAAAATAGGCAGGGTTATTGTACTTAACCGTGTGAGCTTACAACATCCCTTGACGGCAGTAATTACAAAAATTATAATTCACGCAGCTTTGATTTTTATTTCGTGTTGCTAATAATTTATTATGGCAGTTATTCATGAACTCGTAACTACCCACGTATTTCATTTGCATAATTGTCATCTGCCTGCGATATTTAAACACCGGCATAATCGCATCGCATTATAACTTCTAAAAATATTATACTGTTTTCTTTTTGTTATGTATATTTAGCATTCGGGCTCTAATTGCCTTCTTAATGAGTTCATTCTCGTTATTATCTCATGTGTGTTTTGAGAATGGACGCCAATGAAATTCTAGTTCGGGGGTATTAGATGTCTTTTTATTTATATCGATTTCTCAAAATTTCAATTCTAAATGTTACGTTGAAACTAAGAAAGTCAATCACTAAAATTTACCTATTAATTTTCGTAACTAAGTAAGAATTACAGTCCAGTTTTTTGAAACCATACAATACACCATATTATTATACATTAAACTATTTTATCAATACTAATAATACGAATGTGAAAGTGTATTTGTTTGTCTGTCCTTGTTTCAAGTTGAAATGAAGCAACGGATTATTTTGTTTTAATGGCAGTTTAGGTCAAGAGGGTGACATAGGCTACCGTTTATCCCGAAAAAAAAAACATCTCATTCTCACAACAAGGATATTTTTACCAGCTAGGATTGGCAGTCGACAGTAGTCTCTGACTTTGTTGAGTGTTTGTGGACTTCGAACATAGTCTTGTATTGAGGAAATGATAGCATTTTGTATCACCACCACCCGAGTTCCTATTTCAATTTAAAAAGCAATTATCATTATAGTTGCCAATCTTTCATTACACTATATAGGCAGGCGTTTACGTTTGCTGTGTGATTCGGCCATACCTGGATTCAAATACCCCAGTTGGTTAATTTTTTTAGTAAATTAGTTAGATGCTCATTTATTAAAATCCGTGGTCACGCCCGTTATATATTTGCATAGTTACTGGTGGTACTGTGTACCCGCTCGAGTAGGAACTACCATTCTGTCTCTGTTATGTTTTCCAGTGAGTCATATATATATAATTAGATTGGATGAATTTTTGAATAAATGACTTTGAATTTGAATGTAAATGACTATTGTTTCCATGTAAGCTTGCAATTGAGGTTCGTCGGAACAAGAAACTTTTTACGTGTTGTTAAATCATCCATTAATACACAACTACTACATATACTGGTGGTAAGACTTCTTGTGAGTCCGTGCGGGTAGGTACCACCACCCTGTCTATTTCTGCCGTGAAGCAGTAATGCGTTTCGGTTTGAAGGGTGGGGCAGCCGTTGTAACTATCCTTGAGACCTTAGAACTTATATCTCAAGGTGGGTGGCGCTTTTACGTTGTAGATGTCTATGGGCTCCAGTAACCACTTAACATCAGGTGGGCTGTGAGCTCGTCCACCCATCTACGCAATAAAAAAAACCTACATATGACATCATACGTTGTGGTTAGTGCTTAGTTTGAGAAGAGTGTTTGAATTATTAATTTATTACTTTTAGGTAGTGAATTAAAATATGTATTTATTTTCTCCTAAAAAAATTTTTGAAAGATCGTTTTAATTTCATTAACATTCTTTACATTTACTTTTTAGATTATTTTGTTGTTTGTGCCCGGTTGCCTTGTAGGTTGTAGGTACAAGCTAAAACTTTAATATTTCCTTAATTTGGAGTTTTCGGTCAGGCAGACTGAGGAGGCGGCAACTATCGATACTCTTACGTGAAAGTAATTCTCAGTTCTATTAATACTTAAAATAAAGTAAATATAAACGAATAGTAATAATAATAATAAAAAGTTTTAGCACTCATGGTTTCGAATAGTAATAATTACAAAAACAAAATTTAACAAAAGTGTAACGCTCATGGTTCCAAGGTTGTGTATAATGTGGATTTATTTATAAGGAATACGAGTAATTGTTGTCGAAATTTAAACATACAAATTTAGGAAATTTTGATAATGTTTTTTTTTTTAATTAATATAAGGACGGAAATTTGTATTAAATATTAAAATTATTATACAAACTTCTAATAAATAGAGTACTTCACTATTTTTCTATATGTACGTAACACTCCTTGTTAGTTTAAATATAAATTTAAAAAGTTTTCATCATGTTTTAACTTTTTTTTTTTATTTCATTGTGAACGCGTGTGACGTCATACCATCCATTAGACGGCCTACAAAGATACAATTGTATTGAATCTGAATTAATTTTTTGTTAGGTTAAATTGGCCATTACCTAAAATTTCTGTAGAACATAGTGCACAAAATTCAATTTTATTTTTTCTGCCTAATCGTTGGTAGCCTAAGGGGCCAACTACCCGCGAAAAGGCAAGTGTGCTCACGGGCTCAATTTGAGAGAATTGCTAACACTGACTCTCGCAAGAGCAGTGCTTCGCTGAATCTACCACTGGATCGGAATCGCGCCCCACTAATAAGAATCTGACGAGAAACTAAGTGGGCTGGTACGAGTTAATGTATTCAATACAATTCGCCCAATATATTAATATAAAAGGAATACATATTTCATTATCTCGAACTTCAAGAATGTAATACATGACCCTTAAACACAACTATTTCTGTTACATTTGAATGGGTGGCGTGACGTCATGCATTGTGATTTGTATTTACAAAACCGGGATTTAAAAAAAACAAGATATGTACGTTTGATATTTAAATGAGTAAAATGCACCCTTAGTTCAATTTTAAATGTATCAGGTTCTATATAAATATTAAGTATTTTTGTTATGTTTCTGAAGTCTAGTGCCCATTAATGTAAATCCTGGTTGAATTAGGTATTCAATTTGATAGTTTAAAAGAAAAGAGCAGAAAATCCGCATCGTTATAACAATTATTCCGTCTGATTAAAGATATAAAGCAATGTCTAGGACCTAAGACACCTAGACTAGACTAACTAGACTAGTATTTTCTTTTACCATTTATATGTACCATTATGAATTTTATATTAAATTATACATTTTGTAATGCGCCTTAGTAGAATGCTAGATTGTGACGAATAATATTAATAGATACCTAATAAAATAAAAATATTGAAATAAAAACGGAAATTTGCGCAACTTTGAATAGGTATTTATTATTGAAAGCAATAAATTAAGCAACCGACCAAATTACAATTCCCGTAAGTTATATGTATAGAATACAGATACTAAGTTATCCAATATATGTACAATAACTTAAGGAACATTCACGATTGGACTGGATAATTTAAGCCTTTTTTATTTAAGCCTAGTTAATAATATGTAAGTATTAATGTTGAGTGTGTAGTGATTTAACAATAATTGCATTACTGAATACGAATAAATCAGTTTGTAGAAGTATAATGCAAATAGATACTCCAGGCAGCGGCTTGGCTCTGCCCCTGGCATTGCTGAAGTCCATGGGCGACGGTAACTACTAACCATCAGGTGGGCCGTGCGCTCGTCTGCCTACTAAGGTAATAAAAAAAAATAACAAGTATTCTCCGAAGTTTAGTGCAATGTATAATTATTATTCTTACTAAGATTTTTTTTACTACTTTTGATTCTGGGCTTCGTTGTCCTTGAGATATGAGTTCAAAGTTAGCTTATTAGATGTCGAGTATCTGTTAAAACGGAACCTATATTTGCTCGCACTAAAAAAAGGCGTTGTAGTCGTACCTAATTATGTGTTATTTTCCATCAATACCTAATTATATAAACAAAACTTCTAAAAATATTGAAATAGAAGCATAGATTATGCTGCTGATAATGATGATTGATAGGGCCGGTTTCTCAAGCCAGATAAGATTTATCATTTAGAATATAAATCTTGACTTGATTGAGGTAGTGTATTATTTCGATTGCTGCTTTCAGAACGATTGCCTTACATCCTTTATAGAAAGATGAGAAATATTACAATCAAACGCACCAGGGTTGGTATTAAACTTACCGTGTGATGTCACAGCATTCTCGTAAATACCGTATGTTGAACATAAGATTCATATTATTGTAAACGGACAATTTCATTCAAAATAAAGCTTTAAAAATTACCTACTGGAGTTTATAATTCCTTAACTTTCCGTAAAACTAAACGAAAGATTTACCAGGGGGAATCGCTAGATCGAAAAATTTTACAATCTGGATTTTATGATAGATGCTAGTTAAATTTCAAACCGGCACTTGATTGACCTGTATCAACGACGGAACCTTCGTATGAGGAAGTTACGACGAATATAGACAGTTTTTTATTAATGTATTAGATTTTTTTATTCAAGAACAATAGCATCTTTTTATTTTCTAAGTTCTGATATGCAACAGAGAGGGAATGCCCATGTTCGCCTTGTAGTCTGAGTTTTTTAAAGTATAAATGAAAATTGGTTTTTAAATTTTCAATCATAAAAAGGACCTTATTTATACCTTCCGGACACTAGCATAACTAGAATATAACTATTATTCCAATGCACACAAATCTTGTTTGGCGTATTGATGGCATTATTTACACAAAACGAAAACATTACCCACATGGTATCGGGTTGCCAGCGTGCCACTCTTTAGGATATGCACTATGCAGATAGGCAGGGCTAGATAGGTCAATTTAGATAACCTTATTTTAAAGCTTGATAAGACCGTCCGGGTGCCTTATTGCTGAATGCTTCGATCAACAATAGTAACTAGATAAAGGGATACGTACAAAATTAAAGCAACAACTGTCCGCGTGAATATATACTTATATAGCTACATTCGTTTACTAACAAACGGAGAAAAAAGTTTTGAAACACTTTTACGTTCAAACTAATAACAACCATGGCACCTAGAAATAAAGTCACAAATCTCCAAAACATTATCTAATACTTACGATCATTCGTCACATAAAACGAGCAAAGCAATAAATTACTCCTGTCACTTACCAATAAAAAGACATATTTTAAACAACTTTTAATGTTAAATCAATCTTAAAGGCAACAAATAAAGTAACTTTTCCCTTAATTGCTCTGAGAACTAACATCGTTTTGCTTTATTTATTTTTGCTTCTTGAAATGCCGATTTCTATTTACTACAGGAGGTAAGGGAGTCGCGCTTAACACTAAAATAATTTATTAATGAATTAAAGTAAAAGTTTAGTTGTTTACTTTTTATGTTTTGGAAATGTATGTTTGTTAGTATCTATACATTACTTATTATTTTATTAGCGTTACGTTTTTGTGTAATATATATTTTTAAGTTTTCGCGACCAGTGCACATAATAAAACAACGTTTAAACGGTTTCAAGCGTGGTATTTTTATTACAATGTTTCGGCCACATTTCAGTAGCCGTGAGCACGGAAGGCAAAGATGTCCAGTGTCAATAAGCGGAGTTCTTAGCTGGCTTATAAAAGTCATCTCTTGTTTCTCTGGCGACAATCGAGATCCATTCTGCACACGTGATTGCTAGGAAAGCTAAAATAAAAATGGAAAGCTAAGTATCTAATGAGAGTCCAACAAACAGACACAAAAGCAGCATTAACCAATTTTAACCAACTAATTTTGAAGTGCTGCTAACAAATTTTAAAAAATTATTACAACACAAATCTACTCCATGCATTTACTGTTCTGTTAAGCAAAAGTTTGTCCATGTGTTGGCCGAGCCTTGGCCAACATTTGTAGCGGTGGTTAAAAATCGGTAATTTTGTTCAAAATTTAATATTATTTATAAGTTTAAAGCTTACAATATAGTTTATACTTCATGTACTTACCGAAAGTAAGATATTCCGGCCGTTAAATTGCTTTTTCGGGCCTTATTTTTGCAACTTTTGAATACACACTGCGGTATTGTGAGACGGGTTGACATTGGCTGTGTTTGAAGTGAACTAAACAAAATAAGAGCTCACATTTCAAGTGCGCTGTTATTTGACGAGACGGATTTTATGCACCGACCCGAAATCTAGTTACTATTGTCGATCGAAGGCTGAATGTGTTCTTGAAACTTATGTGTAATTACTTTTTTAAATCATAAACAAGTCCAGTCTTAGTCTAGCTAAAAGTGAGGCCATTGTTTCACTACTTTTGTACCAAATTTTGTTCTAAAGGTTGGTAAGAAACTCCGCGTAAACTGTTTTAAAACCTAGTTTATTAATTAGGTACATGATACTGAAAAGGGTATACCTTTTAATCGTGTACGAAAATGTAAAGACAGTTATTTTTTACATTATATGTATATTTTATAATTTTACTAATACTACATTTATTTCTTCATTTATAATTAACAAGTGTTTGCGTGTGTTTGTATCGACCCACTAATTATAACTAATCGTTTGATCAACTAATTTGATTTGATAATGTAGTTGTGCTAATAATAAAGATAAATAGCGAGTTACAGCTCATACAAACTTCCCAGTTTCCTTCAGAATTTGGACTGCCAATATACATATTGTTACGCGCTGGGGTTCGGGATAAATAAAATTTTACCGAATTACATGTTATCACTGTATTCAACACTTAAAACACTTCACAAACACTTTAAAATTCTCAATTCGCTTCTTCCGCTTCGCTTCGAGTAGTTCCGATTACTAACTGCCTGTCATATCTGCAACGCTCTTATACGCCGATACCACATCCCTAAAATTATCAAGAATATTCCACAAAAGTCTAGTATTGTGTTTCCACTATCTGACAATAGATGGCGTTGTACTTCTCGAACGTTCTAGGTGCTACTAGATCCTTCCCTATTCGTTCGACTATTCGGCGAAAGATAGCGTTACTCTTACCGGCGTAACAACATTTATGTCAGTATACCCACTAAAATCGATCGCTTTTACCTCTTACATTAATTTTAATAAATTTGGGAACATCTGTTACTATTAACATGTCAATCAACGCCGTATTTTTGCATAGATTGGTGGAAGAGCTCATGGCCCACCTAGTTTTAAACGGTTACCGGAGCCCATAGACATCTACAACGTAAATGCCGCCACTCACCTTGAGATATGAGTTTTAATTCTAAGGTCTCAGTATAGTTATAATGGCTAACCCACCCTTCAAACCGAAACGGATTACTGCTTCACGGCAGAAATAGCCAGGGTTGTGCTACCTATCCGTGCGGACCAACAAGAAGTCCGACCACCAATAATTACGCAGGATTCGAACACCAGTGTATCGCTCAACACAAATGCACCAGGCGTCTTATCCTTTAGGCCACGACGATTTTGACTAAATAAAGGCAAAACATCCAGCTTAGTGAACTTTTAGAAGAGACAGTGGTATACTTATTGTATAACCATGTATTAACTGGCATCATAGTTCATACACTTAATAATTGGAATTTCACTATGCACTCTCTTCAAATACGCCTCATTATATTATGGTTTTTAGGTTACATACTATCAAGTTTTAGATTCATCTTTAGTTTGAGAGCGACATAGGATCTATAGAAGTAATTTAAAATTTAGTGTGAAATTTTGTTCACATTAAGTAAATTTAAATTAAATACATGACACAAACAACATTTATATTATAACACAGCCAGAAACAAAACTGTCATAATATTAAACAATAACCTAATTAAATGTTTCTTATGAGTAATCATCATCTTCATCATCATCAGTTCTTGGAGCAGTTGTAGGTGGTACATATGGTTGTGCATTTCCTTCAACACCAACAAGTCCTTGTTGTTGTAGTAAAAGCCACTGTTGCTGTTCTTGTTTTGCTTGTTCCTCACGGGCCTGTGTTAAATAAAGTTTAATTATAAATTGGGTATTTTTTAAAAGTGAATTTTTTTAGGCGCATTGAGAGTAATATTTAACTCACGATAGTTAGGCAGTTACTTCGTTACAGCTTGAGAGAAAAGATACAATTTAAGAGGAGCGAGAATGAGAAAATAGACAGATCGTCTCGCAAACCACTAGACCTTTGAGAGGGAGATAGTGAGCTAGGTCGTTTCTCACACATTCTGTTTACGAGCGTCGGCCACTAGATGGCAATAAGATAATGACGTATATTTTAATGGAGGATTTATAAGAAAAAATATTTTTTTTGATATATAATTTAAAACATATTGATGCTTGAAAGGCAAACATGACTAAGCGACAATAACTGCTTTGTACATAAATGATAGGCAATAACCATATTCGACTTGCAAAAAATATATATTTCTAGGTCTATTAAAATCATTTCAATCCTACAGCTACTAGCTAGATTCTACTACAGCTAGACTCATTAAAATAAATTTTGTTGTCAGGTATTTCAACTTTAAATTAGTCTACTGTAAAGTTCACGCATTGTCGCTTAGTCACATTTGCCTTTCAAGCGTCGATATATAAAAGGATAAGAGGTCGTTTCTCGGAGAGAAATTTGATTTAATGATTAAAAATTAAGAAAACCACATGGACTAAGTTAAACCAGTCATAAAAGTTAAACCAGTATATACACAAACTATTTGCAATGAGATATAATTATATTAAAATAATATCTACAATTGGTTCTCATATTGACCATAAGTAATTATGAAAATGTGGTTTTATCATACTCTGTCTCCTGTTAACATATCTAACAAAATAAGATATCAAATACAGGGGCTTGCTCGATTACATATTTTTTTATGAACACTTTTTTCCTACTTATTTTCCCAAAGCTTAAGAAATACAACATCTAGGTTATTACAAAGTGCTTACTCGAGTTTGTTCTATATGAACCTTGATTGAAGCCTCAATTGTATTGTTTAACAGCTTGTATTGCATGATTGCTGTTACACCTCAAAGGGTTAGGTTAATAAGTGTTCTCTAAAAGTTCCTGTACATTCCTGAGTAGAAAGGACTAAAGTATGAAGCTTAAGCTGACATTTAAATGGGGTGATTACTTTGAATTAAATTGAATCAAATTGGTTTTTTTTTGTATGGTCTATTTAACAATCCCATCCTTATGTTGTTTAAATGACATTAGAGACCAATTTATTATTGACCAGTTTGTATGAAGATCAACAAATCCACATCTAATGTTTACATTAAATGAATTGAAACATAATTGCTCTATAATATAAATAGGGTTTATTACATATGTCGGATTAGTCTGATTGGTTTGGTAAGATTGTTACTTCATTTTTTTCATTTCAAAATCATGACCACAGACACATTTTTATTGAATTTCATAATGGTTAAGAAAATACTGATTTAAATTGTTTAAACCTTTGCAAACAGTTCTTGTTGTTGTCTCAATAATTCTTCTTCTGGAATGCCTAAATTCTCAAGGCGTGTGCTTTGTCGTCTTCTTTTAGCCGCCACTGCTTTACAATCTTTTAAGACAGCTTCTGCTTCTATTGTGTAGTCACTAAATCCTAATCTGTCTAGGGCTGAAAATTAGTTTGATACTGAAGCTTAAAGTTAAATTTGTAAAAAAAATATGTTCGTGTTCCTTATGATAATATTAATTGTCTTTTAACAATAGTGAAATATATACCTGTAAGGACATGTTCTGCATTAATTGTTTTCTTATTGCTTTGATTACATACTTCATTGGCTTCAGAACTAATCAAATGTATGAATTCAGTGCAGCAATTTAGGATTAACTCCCTTGACTCGAACGCTACACGAACAGAAGGCACTAACTCTTTTATCATTTTATTTATACTAGCTCTTGGTAGAGTCAGTTCGTCCTCTTCTGAAGGTGGTGGACAAAGTTCACGCTCTGGACTTCCCATGGTAACGAATTTATGAACGCCCACTTCTATTTTTTTGCGGTAGCCTTTGGGCCACTTTGGGCCATTATGCTTTGGGCCACTTTGACTCTTTTTTTAAGAGATTTTATGACCTGGTAACTAAGACCTTTAAGTCATGTCTTATTTTACTTTATATTCTTAATTTTATGAAAAATGATAATATGGAGTGAAATGAAATGAAGATGATTAATTTGAGACATTAATCAACTGGGATGAAATTTAATGAAATTAAATGATATGGGATGAAATATAATCGCAGTAAAATGGTGGTCATTTACTGAGATTTTTTCAGTGGACTTTTCGGAGGAACCCGAGAAGTTACGTCCAGCAGCTTTGTTTCATTTTCCCACATTTGTGCACTTTCACAGATATTAAACAGTTAATAAACCACCATTATTACACATTTAAACCTGAAGAAACACTAAATAGACAAAATAAAACAAATCACACAACTTCACTCCTCGCGTTCCCGCCAAAAAGTCTTCACTTTTATTCTTTTTTTTAAGAGATTTTATGACCTGGTAACTGAGACCTTTAAGTCATGTCTTATTTTACTTTATATTCTTAATTTTATGAAAAATGATAATATGGAGTGAAATGAAATGAAGATGATTAATTTGAAACATTAATCAACTGGCATGAAATTTAATGAAATGAGATGATATGGGATGAAATATAATCGCAGTAAAATGGTGGTCATTTACTGAGATTTTTTCAGTGGACTTTTTGGACGAATCCGAGAAGTTACGTCCAGCAGCTTTGTTTCATTTTCCCACATTTGTGCACTTTCACAGATATTAAACAGTTAATAAACCACCGTTATTACACATTTAAACCTGAAGAAACACTAAATAGACAAAATAAAACAAATCACACAACTTCACTCCTCGCGTTCCCGCCAAAAAGTCCAACTTTGACTCTCAAATATAATATGCATAGATTATACACTTAATATATTTGATATACCGGTAAAATGGGGCGATTAGGAACAAATTCCAACTTTATGACCAATTTTAAGGTAGTTGTTGATGTATATAATGCTATATCAAGATGAAAATGATGGAGTCTTGGGGGCATCTTTGTTGTCCAATTTAAAACTATGCAACTAGCATTCCAGTTTAAGCAAAAAAAGCAAAAATAGGTGTAATCCCTATTTACCCGGAAATTGCGGTTAATTGGGACGAAATGAGAAATTTGCTAAAAAAAAAAAAAAAAAGGGTTGGCACTACTTGGTTTTAATTAATTAATTTATTTAGTTGCACCAACAAAGTGATCATCAATAAAAAACATTGAAAAACTGACAAAAGTACATGGCAGATGTCACCTCAATTATAGGTGCAATCGACAGTGCATTAACAATAAAAAAAATATAATATATAAAACTTGATTACATTTAATTATTTGTGATTAATTTATATTTACTTGGGAAAGTATCCGCGACAGGTTTTTCCTGTAAGTTGTGAAATAATTAGAAAAACATCTATTTCATCACTTAAAGTTAGTTCAGCGCAATCGGACAACTACGAATGAGCATTGACGGAGACCGCGCTACCGTGGACATTATTGTAGTCCCAAAGGATTCTGTTTAAGGGAGAGTAAGCGCCTAAACTCGAACGAGCGGGCTTTCTTATAAGCGGTTTATATTTCTTCATTCTTAGTAAGTACTTAGGGCCTGATATTTTTATCTGGGTTAAGAGATTAGGTGTGTCCGTTATTCCATAGATTAATCAGGTGGATACCCCCACTCTGGACAAATATTAATATATGTTATGATATATTACTTAGACATTTTTGTCCACCTTGAGATTTCATTGTTCTTGTTACATGTCTGTGCAAAATCGACTTACTTATATTAAATTGCTTAGCTATTTCAACTAAAGACTTATTCCCAATTTCATAGGCTTCTATTGCTGTTTTTAATATTAAGGGATCATATCTCTTTATAAGGCTTTGCATTCTGATACGTACACGGGAGGCATATCTAAAAATAGAAAACAATACGTACCTAACTTATAATATAAATATTTACCAAACATTAAAATAACACATTGATAATTTTGAATAAAAGTTCTAGACAAAAACATCATGAATAAACTAGATTTTTACCAACAAATTTAAATAATATTGTTATAACTACATAGACAACCCTACAAACCTGTACCTATTTATACTTAGGTCGTTTCCATTTCGTTTATTCTCATCCCAATTGACCTCTTTTTCGTTGTAATTTGTACCTAAGACGTCCCCAATATCCCCAAAAACAACAGATTTTTACATGTATTTTTATTTTATCAAATACATTAAAACCAATAACAACTGAGAGTTACCTTTAATATATATGATGGTTCAAACACTAAATAACGTTTATAAATCACAGTCGTCTTCTATTATTATCAAATGAATAAAAGAGAGCAAAGTTTCTAGCACTAAAATAATTACCACCACAGGAAGTTAATTTGAAACGCGATTTTTTATAAGTTAGCAGCTATTATCATGCATGTTCAGAGTTGTTTTGTAAACTTTCAACATTCTACTATTAAACTACAAAAAATGGAAGATTTTGCATCGAATATAAAACTAATATTGAGCGTCGAAAGATTTTCCCGGTTTTTTCCCGATTCGCCACTCAATCCCTAATCGCCCCATTTTACGGTAATTAAAAAACTGACAGTCCAATTTTTTTTTAGGGATTTTATGACCTGGTATTTTCAACCTTTAGGTCAATGACAGTCCGATAGCTGATAGCATAGATTATACAATAGCGGACATACCTACATAGTTCAAAAAAATATTTATCCAAATTGTTCACACACGTAGTTTATTGTATGTTTACGTTCGTTGAAAAAATAAAATGGTGTTCTATTTTACAAGTAGTGTTGTATCTCCCCCAGTTACGCTATTTATGGGAGCCGACAAAAACGAAAGTAAGATATTTCCTAACCAAAAATAACTACAATCTATTCAAATAAATCTTTGTTTCTAATTTATAAAAAAAAATGAAAATATTATGCACTTATGTACAATATTTAGTTACTATATTGAACCTATTTTCATTTTAGATGAAGACTTAATAAAATGGGGTTGGCCAGAGGATGTCTGGTTTCATGTTGACAAAGTATCATCTGCACATGTATATTTAAGACTTACTCCTGTAAGTAATCATTATATTTTAATACTCAGGGGCAATTTCAATTGCATAACAGATCTGCTCTAAAGTGCTTGATCTGTGTAAAATATTATGAATAAAATTAAATCTACCTTCTATGAAGGGTTTTATGAAATGTTCATGTCTCCCTGGCATGTTCAGTCCTTAATTCTTTTATTTGGATTCAGACATAATTCATCTGTGAATAGACCTAGATTCCAAGTCTTGTGATTTTTATAAATACAAACAAATATAACTTGAGCTACACAATGGTCTGTGATAAGAAGGGGACCTCTGGTAGATGAAAGTATCATTTTAGCTGATTTCAGCCTTCTTGCCATTCTTGTACTTATTGTAACCCTGTAAGATTATTTTGGGCTTCCTCTGTTTCTTAAGAGATATTATGGTCTGGTTTCTAAGTATGTGGTGATGATGTGAGGCCTGGGAGTATTTTTAATTGCCAAGTCTGGTAATATCTCTTGACAAATCAATGTACCATAGATTTTAATAATCATAATGTTTAGCGCATGTAATGTTGGTAGGTTTCTGGTTTAAAGAGTGGGATAGTCAATGTACGTACAGTGTACTTGGGACTTTGAAATTACATTTCGATGTGGGTGATAGCATTCACATTATTATTATCATATCACATTGCATTCACACACACTAGCACCTTACCAAGCTTACAAAATATTGGTTCATGTCAGATGACCCAAACCATGACATATTATAACGGTTTATATGAACTGAACATATTATCTATTAAACTATGGGACTGTTGAGTTTTAAAATAGAACATGTTTTACAGGGTCAAACGATTGATGATATACCTAATTTAGTTCTTGATGATGCTTGCCAGCTGGTCAAAGCAAATTCCATTTTAGGCAATAAAATGAATGATATAGACATAGTTTATACAATGTGGTCAAATTTGAAGAAGACTGCTGGAATGGAGGTATGCATTAATATATTATAAGACCTATAAAATTGCTGTTTAATATAGAGAAGCTTTTTTTTTTATACCAATCAAAATATTACCCATGGTATTGATTGGAAAAGTACCAATGATGTATTTTTTCAATGCTCTTCTTGAAGAAGTTAGGTGTACAAGAGCCAGAAACTCTTCAAAGGCAATTTGTACTGAGTTATTAAATTTTGTCCTTCCCAATAAGTTTTTCAAGCACACTTATACTTTTTAAAAGTTTTCACTTCTATAGATTGATTGATTCCAGGTTGGACAAGTAGCATTCCATAAAGACAGAGAAGTAAGAAAGGCGAAAGTGGCCAAAAGAAATAATGAAATAGTAAATAGGCTGAATAAAACAAAAACAGAATCATTTCCAGACCTCAGACAAGAAAGAGAGAATCGAGATAGATTAGAGAGAGAAGATAAAAAGAAAGTTTTAAGAGAAAAAAAGGAGAAAGAGAAAGAAGAAGAAAAACGAAAAAAGGAAGAGGCAGAACTCAGAAGCTACTCTACATTAATGAAAGCGGAAAATATGTCCACTAACTATGATGGTAATGATTCCGATGATTTTATGTGACCATCATATTACAAATCCTGTTTCTATTAAATTAACACTAAAACATTTTTTTCTTCTAATAATTTTATAGAAAATATTTAAAAGTGAAAAATAAAAGTATATTTTAAAGATGGCATAAATTTATTCCAACTGAGCTAAGTGAATTTACAACCCAAGTAGGATATTGGCCATTGGGATAAACTTCGTTTACAAATTGTTGTACAAAAGCTGGAAATGTACCATTTTCAATATTTTCTCTCATAGTCCTCATAAGACGCATCTGCAATTTACAAAGATTACAAGTCAATTTTAATATACCTACATTGTATAAAATTATAAAATTGGCTTTCCACCTGCTACTTCACCTGTTTTGACTACATTTAAAGTAAATATGAAAAAAAAAAATTCATCAATTTTGTGTTCATTATTATTCCAAATTAATGTCCATCTATCAATTCGGAAATCCATTCAGTACATGTGGAGTGTGGAGATGTGTGTGAACAAAGAAACAGACAGAAAGTGATTCAATGATTGAGCTTTAGGTTTTTAATCTATTTTTACTTTTTATTTGTGTGTATTTAGCAGATTCTACTGTTTGATTATATATATGTATTGGGAATACAGATTTGAAGTTGTTACATCACGCATAAACCACTTTTTATATTTTCTATCCGAGACACGTATTTTATCGTAAATTTCAGCTTGTTGTTTGTTGTGTTGACACTGTTATAAGTTTATGAGGAACGAAATATTAAAGTTATAACAGATGTGTAAATTTTCATGAAATCGATTGTTTTTTTATTTCAATTCATGTTTTAATATAATTAATTCCCCAAATCTCAAATAAATTTAATTAGTTCCACTTGTCTATGTAAATATCATTTTGATGAGAAGTACCGAGAACTACTATTAGGGGTTGTCAGATAGTAGACAAATTAAAAACACTACCATACCTGATAAGCAATATTGTGCACAGAAAGTAGATGGCAAGACACTGTTTCTACTGTTACAATACTGTGGAGATAAGCCCTTGTGTAATTCAAACATGTTGAACAAGTACAATCTTTGTCAATTGGATTTAGATCTGTTTCATATTTTTTTTGTTTCAAACTCAATTGTCCTTTATTCACAAGTGCACACCCAAACCTCTGGAATATAAAAAATGGAAAATAAAGACATATAAATTTTCATGTAGATGAGAAAGTTGTTAAAATTAATTATGACCTAAAGGATATTTGTATCCAGCAATGCATTTATAGTGGTGCTCAAATCCTGCATGCAAGTACTTTTTTGTAATGCCATACCTACTCATTGATAATATTCATAAATAACTTCAATGCATAAAAAATAACATCATGTAATAAATTCAAACCTGTAGAAGTATAATTAGTGTAATTAATATACAATTCATAAGAATAATCTCTAGCCTCAAGGTGAATAGCTGCATTCACATCATGATGTCTATGGGCTTCGATAACTATTTAAAATTGTGGATTTTGCGTTTAAAAAATATTGCTAGCCTGTCTCGTAAAGCAACACCATCTATCTTATCTTCTTCTGCCACAGAGCAGTCATGTGTCATTCTGTTACTGATGGGACAGCCATTACAATGATATAATTCTAACCTATATTCTAACCTGCAATTATTTTTTATTGCTTAGATGGATGGACGAGCTCACAGCCCACCTGGTGTTAAGTGGTTACTGGAGCCCATAGACATCTACAACGTAAATGCGCCACCCACCTCGAGATACAATTTCTAAGGTCTCAAGTATAGTTACAACGGCTACCCCACCCTTCGAACCGAAACGCATTGCTGCTTCACGGCGGGGTGGTGGTACCTACCCGTGCGGACTCCCAAGAGGTCCTACCACCAGTGATTACGCAAATTATAATTTTGAAGTCGTCGTGGCCTAAAGGATAAGACGTCCGGTGCATTCGTATGTAGCGATGCACCGGTGTTCGAATCCCGCAGGTGGGTACCAATTTTTCGAATGAAATACGTACTTAACAAAATATGTTCACGATTGACTTCCACAGTGAAGGAATAACATCGAGTAATAAAAATCAAACCCGCAAAATTATAATTAGCGTAATCACTGGTAGTAGGACCTCTTGTGAGTCCGCACGGGTAGGTACCACCGCCCCGCCTATTTCTGCCGTGAAGCAGTAATGCGTTTCGGTTTGAAGGGTGGGGCAGCCGTTGTAACTATACTGAGACCTTAGAACTTATATCTCAAGGTGGGTGGCGCATTTACGTCGTAGATGTCTATGGGCTCCAGTAACCACTTAACACCAGGTGGGCTGTGAGCTCGTCCACCCATCTAAGCAATAAAAAAAGAAAAAGGCTGTTAACTCGTCCAATCATTTTGCAAAAAAATTTATACATCTACCTCATGTTACAAGTCAGTATGTCAGCATTCATAATGCATATGAACTTTGGTAGCCTTCCCTTAATTATTACTTTGAGTGTAAGCTGTTCTACTCAAACTTCAACATTTCCCAGCAACAGTTGAGATCTGACCTTCTCTGCCAAATTATATTGTATTATTTATTATTTGAACATTATGATTATAGAATTAGTAAAATAAACTTACTGCTGTACGAGTTGGGAAAACACAGTCAAACATGTCAACACCAAGAGCCACACACACTACAAGATCAATGGCAACTCCAACACCCATGAGATATCGTGGCTTGTTTTTATCAAGTATTCCTGTGCTCAAGCTAACCATTGGCCAGAAATCATCCTTTGCTTCACCCCCACTGAAACACAAGTAAAATGTTGGGGGTTTGTGAGTGTGTAAGCTGTTTTTTTTATTTAGTAGTAAATGAGTTTAAATGGTTTTTTTAACTATTAAATTTTTTGAACGTATTTTATCTCAAGAGGTCTTTATTCTGTCAGAAAGTCCAAATTAATGCCTGAACTGCATAAACTCAGCTGTAACTGTGTTAAGTATTATGAATATAATGAAGGAAATCAGTTTTGTATATAATATATGGACACCTTGATAAAATACTTATTACTTGAATAAGGACAGTAGATTAAATAATACATACCAAAAGATACAATTGAGAAATTTCAAGCTGATATTTAAATTGAAGTAGTAATAATAGTCATATCATATATATCTTATTCTTGTTATACCTTAACCCTCCAATAGCAAATCCATTTACATCTTTAGTCATGTGTTCTTTAGCACTCTGTTCTCTTAAGGTATTGTTTAATAAACCTTGTACAATAGGAAATATGCTTTGCTCTGTGGGTCTCTTGTGTGCCTTTAGACATCTGTCAAGCCATCTGCTGGTCCTTTCTGAAGCTTCTTTGTTTCTCTCATAGTTTTGGTTTGTTGTTTGTACAACATCATCTAGTTGCATGATAATGTCAGCTCCTGTTTAAAAATAGTCTTATGAATCAATTATGGTCTATATTTATATTAGTACTCATCTTATTTAATAAGTAGATGATAATGAATACCTATGCTGTTCTGGATTTCAATTGATCTTTCAGGTGTCAACATAGTTTCAGAGCCATCATAAGGTGATTTAAACTTGACTCCTTCTTCAGTTATTTCCGCTAATTGTAGTAATGACACCATTTGAAAGCCACCTGAATCTGTAAGGAGTGCTCTGTTCCAACCCATAAATTTGTGGAGGCCACCAGCTTTTTCTAAAACATCCGTACCTGGTCGATTTCCTAGGTGGTATGTATTTCCTAGTATAATTTCACAATCTAAATTTTCTAGCTGTTCTGGTAGAAGACCTTTCATGGTACCCTAAAATTTAATTTTGTTAGTAGTAGCATAGTTCCACTTTAACTAATAACCATAGATTTTATCTATATTTGGCCCACGAGACTACTGGCATGTGGCATGTTCATTCAACAATCAGGGTTTCGATTATCAGGTTCGGTTGTCGGTTTGATAGCGAAAAGGTTCAGAAAACACCTTAAGAAGTTTTCGTTATCCAGCTGGGTGTAGGGCTTGGTGTAGAAAGCGGGTTATTCTTCACACGGCGCGTATCATGAGGAGGTTGCTCGTTCTGAAGTCCTAACCACTGGTGGCTTGTTGCGTCGTAGAGACCGTCACCAGTGGCAATCTGTTTTTTATAGTGTTTTTTATTCTTTTTTAAAATATTGCAAATTCAAGATTTTAATAAATATAATGTAAATAATATTTTGTTTTAAACATAACCTGGGTTCCTACTGGCATAAACACTGGTGTCTTCACATCATAATGGGGAAGTTTCATAACTGCAGAGCGTGCTTTTGTAATTTTACATTCAGTAGATATATTAAAACGTAGAGCTGCTGATGTTGTTTTCATATTGATGAATTCGGAATGTAGAGAGTAATTATATTTTTTGATTCGGAGTCAATTATTTTGTAAAAAAATTTTTTTTAAGAGATTTTATGACCTGGTAACTAAGACCTTTAAGTCATGTCTTATTTTACTTTATATTCTTAATTTTATGAAAAATGATAATATGGAGTGAAATGAAATGAAAATGATTAATTTGAGACATTAATCAACTGAGATGAAATTTAATGAAATGAAATGATATGGGATGAAATATAATCGCAGTAAAATGGTGGTCATTTANGAGATGAAATTTAATGAAATGAAATGATATGGGATGAAATATAATCGCAGTAAAATGGTGGTCATTTACTGAGATTTTTTCAGTGGACTTTTTGGAGGAACCCGAGAAGTTACGTCAAGCAGCTTTGTTTCATTTTCCCACATTTGTGCACTTTCACAGATATTAAACAGTTAATAAACCACCATTATTACACATTTAAGCCTGAAGAAACACTAAATAGACAAAATAAAACAAATCAAACAACTTCACTCCTCGCGTTCCCGCCAAAAAGTCCTTTGTAAGCTATCAAAGCATACGGCCATAGATTATACACTTAATATATTTGAGACATACGGCGGTAGGTACTGAGTGTATAATCTATGGTAGGTACCTACCCAAAAAAAATTAATAAATACATTTTAATATTATCTCGTTTTAAACAAGTTTATCTGGTTTTTTCTATTGTAGTTAAATAAAAGTTCATTTCATTTTTCATTTGAAAAAATATTTATATATTTAATAATAACTGAAGAATAGAAATAAATCGGACGGCAACAATGCAGATTTAGAATTACAAAACGTTATTAGTCGTTTCCCTTTTCCCTTAAAGGCTTATTACACTTTAACTGGTTATTATTATATTATATTATACTTATACTGGTGGCTTATTACTGATGGTAGGACCTCTTGTGAGTCCGCACGGGTAGGTACCACCGCCCTGCCTATTTCTGCTGTGAAGCAGTAATGCGTTTCGGTTTGAAGGGTGGGGCAGCCGTTGTAACTATAATTGAGACCTTAGAACTAATATCTCAAGGTGGGTGGCGCATTTACGTTGTAGATGTCTATGGGCTCCAGTAACCACTTAACACCAGGTGGGCTGTGAGCTCGTCCACTCATCTAAGCAATAAAAAAAAAAAAAACTTGGCTGAATTTAGTCGACTGAATACAGAAGCAAATTTAGAAGCTTCTGATTACACTGTTCTAAATTCAGTTATAGTAATCGGCAAACTTCTTGAGCAAATGACCTTGACTGCGCAGAACCGAATTTTAGGTCACTTTGGTGGTGAGGGTGAGGCGCGACGGCAGGGGAAATCGTATCGAGCGCGTTATTGGTAGATCAGTCGAACCTTGCGTCCCGCACCGCGCCCTCATTCCGCTTGCTCCCAAAAGTACGCTTGCGTACAGTGG